CGAAAGTCAAGTTGAACATAAAAACGGCCGACATGCACATGTTATTGGCGAAGGGTATTGAGAATACTTTGACTTGATTCAAGAAGTTTATCCCTAGTACAACTTTAAAATCATCCATCGGAATGAAAAAAAGTCTAAGGTACCTGACCACGCTCCAATACTGGTCTTTACTCCTTTGGCTATTCCATGGATTGAGATTGTTGCTGACTTAACTACTTTGATGGAGCCTCCTCCTTCAGTCATCCACAAATCCAAACTTTTTGCTTCTTCGACAGAGATGAAATTGTGAGAAGCACCCGTGTCCACCATTGCTCTAATGGTTTTCCCGCCTATTACAATCTCCATAAAGAGTAACCCCTTTGCTTGGGCTTGCATCCCATTCAGTAACTGTATAGCCCCTACTTGTGCGGTCATATTACCACCTTCTTCCTCCTGATGGCTTGTAATGAGAGATTTTAGTGTCTTCTTCTGAGGGTAATCCCCTGCCCAATCAGGTCCTCCACAAAGGAAGCAGTTGTTATGCGGTTTGGTTTTGTAGTCTTTAGACTTCCACTGTCTTTTGCCTTGGATGAAGTCAATTTGTGATGGGCCTCTTCCTTGTGTTGATCCTTGTCTTCCTCACCCTTGACATAGATACTCTTCTTATCTTTAGGTTTTGTGGACTCTTTTGAGTAATCAATTAGGCTTTCAGCGACCGCGATGACAATGACAAGATCTTCCTCTCCGCGCCTCCTAAACTCTGTCTTTTCCCACTGTTGGAGTTTATCCATAAAGTTGAAAAGAGCATCCTTGTCAGACATGTCGAAAATTTCAAGAACCAAACTTGTGAACTCCCTAATATATTCCTAAATAGATCCCTCTTGTTTTAGTCTTCGCAATTGGGCTTTAGCCTCATCCTCCGCATTCTTAGGGTAGAATTGTCTCTTTAGTCTCTTTCGAAGTCATCAAAGGTGGATATGGTGCACATACCTTTCTCAATATCTCCTTTTCTTCTCCACCACAAAATAGCGATGTCAGGAGGTAAAGGCCAATTGAATTCTTGCACCCTCATCTGTAATCCTCATCGCACAAAAGTATTGGTTGAGTATCATAGTAAGTTGTCTACTTCCTTTGCGTTGCGAGCTCTCCCAAAACTCTTAGGTTTTGGTACTTCGATGCGTTTGGCTTCGAATGTATGATTGTTAGTGGATGTCGCTAGTGCTCTATTGCATAGCAAAATATCTCCACGCATCTCCTCCAAGCTAGCATGTATGCCGCTCATCTCGTCTTCATAGGCTCTTTGTGCCTCCTGGAGCTCCCCATCAAGTCCTCACGCATCTTAGTCATTTGGTCCCTTAAAGACTCCTCTAATTGGAGCATCATACCTCTGGTCGTCAAATGGATTGTCACGTCCTCCTCCTTGAGTCAATCAACATTTTGGCCAAGATCCTCTAACTGAGCCTCCACACCATTCATTGCCTCCTCCACCCGAGCAAGACATGAAGCAAAGCCGTGCATGATCTCCTTAGACCTCCCATGTGGTTTAGATGCAGCTGGATTTCGTTGCTTCCGATGACCTTGCCCTTGTTGAGATGATTACACATAAGTGGCTTCGTACTCTATTAAGTGCTCTTTAACGCTCTTTGTCATACCTTTGAACAGAGACTCTAATACCAGCTGTCACAGATTTACTTATCCCAAGTTACTCGTGCGGCTTTAGCGCTCTTTCTTGGCACTGAATCAGCCTAACCTTCACAACTCTTGGATTTGTAAGCACACAACACTCTTGGAAGAAGAATAGAGAGAAGTATTGGAGAAAGAAATACTTCACTAAGAAATAGTGATTACAACACTTGAATGCTTGAAACCTTAGATAGTTCTTGGATGAATGCTTGGATGGATCCAAATGAGGGGAGGGACACCTATTTATACTCCTGCCCAAACCTAAGGGAACTTTCAAGATTACATTAGAATAGTTTAGTTTTTAGATAGTTCTACATTATTCTCTTATATACATATATGACCTAAATCTTTCTAGGTTATTCTTGACTTCTCCTTGGAGTTATTTCTTCTAACATTTTATAGAATGTGATGGAGTCTTCTAGAGCTACTTGGATTGCTCTCATCCATCTAGTCTTTTTTAGAATCTTCCATCACATGGTTGTCTTGTCAATTTCTCAAATATGACAGAACGTGACAATAAGCTAATATAAAATTTTGAATGTACATAATAAATAACTTTAGCTACTAACCTACGGTGCATCTCATACTCCACTCTAGGGTTTTATTTTACTTTTCACTCAGATCAATTGGGGCAAAAACAAATTTACAAGCCAGTTTCTTGTTTCCTTTAGTACATCAATGACTTTTGTTGTGAAATGAATAACCCCTGATGTGAATGAGCAGCCTTTACTCCTGGGAAAAACTCCTACTTCACATTGTTTTATCTATGATGGAGCTTTGGATAATAAGATAACCAAGGGTTTTTAATCGTTGTAATTGATGACTAACATACCTAAGTAATTATAAACATGGAGAGGTGTGAAAACTGGGAAGAAATTACAAAGTCAATGAAGCCTTGAAACAATCCCAAACAATATAAGATCGCATTAGAATTTAAAAATTAAAAATGAGTAAATACGATCGTTAAAGCCTTAGAAGCACTTGGAAATTATTTGGGAACGGTTTTAGATGTGATTTGTTGTTCGTGAGATTTTTTTTTAAGTGGTATGGGGTTAAGAAAATGACGTAGAATTAATTATAGATCATAGAAGACCTAATTTTCCTAAAAAGTACTCTTTCAATGTTCTCTTCAATATTGCTTATGGTTAATGGCTGCAAAGCTCCATGGATGATGAGATGGATATTCGGGAGATTGTAAAATGAAAATTACACAAAATAATTAAATCAATAATACAAAAGAAAACTCTCAAGTTGCTTAGTCTTGACCTTATCCATTGTTCTCCCATGCGACACTCAACATTATAAAACACCCTTGATGTATAAAGGACTCATCACATGTTTTTATAACCCCTGAATGATATTACAAATATATAGTCCAAAAATATAAGCATACTAGACTATGTTACCATACAACAATATTTATGTTAAAACCACAATGCATGACTATAGTTAATTATGCACATAGAACTACATAACTATAGCCAATAACCATTCGCCATATAACTAATAATAAGCCTATGACGCATTGCATCAATCCATAATTTTCTTATCAATCACTAATTTAAAGATTCTTTTTCTTGCATATCATTTAATAACATTGTTATGTCATCAACATAAACCAATAAAGTTATGGCTCCCCCCTATATCTGATCGTCCAATGAACAAAGCATGATACCCCTAACTACTACCCTATGAATACCATTTCTTGAGCAAATATTACAACCATACTATAGGTGATCGCTTGATACCTTACATTGTCTTTTAAATTTTGTGCACCTCATTAAATTTCCTCCTCTAAATCATTATGAAAGAATGCATTTTGAACATCAAACTATTGCAATGCTGATGGATATTAGCAGCCAATGAAAAGAGGACTTATTTTATTCATCTTTTCAATTTGACCAAATGTCTGCTGATAATCAAATTTTATTAGCATGTGAAAAGGTTGCATTATAAAAGAAAAAAAAACATGAATTGCTTAGGGTTCTATAGTTGACCACAGATTTTTTTTAGTCCATTGACTTAAAAAAATTGTCCAAGCTATGAGTTTGATTATTATTACTTTTGAACATCATAACTACAATAGTTAATTTTATTGCTCTATCTTGAACTTAAGAATTAAAATAATGAACATGATTGCTAAGGGGTGGTTGCATGGAAACTTTAACACAAGGATTATGTGAGATTAACTTAAAATTGTCAAACGGTGAATATGAGAATTCAAATCCTACAAAAGCTACATTACATCTACCCACCATCTCATGGTAAATCAAGGATTTACTGAATTCCAAATTTCCGTGAGTTTAACGGATGTCAAAGATGTGAAGATCATTGTTACAGTGCCCATGTGCATGGCTCACTATTTTTGTCTATTTATTTGCTCTAATCTTTGTGCTGACCAATATATGAAACAGATCTAATGATATCAATAAATTTGTCTCATACTATTATATGGTTTTTGATCCTTGGTCTAGCTTTCTTAAATCATTCATTAGCTTGGTGCAATCTACTACACTGCTCTAAAACAATCTCTTAAAATTTGTCCAATAATTTATTGCATCAGATTTAATGATATTGCGTTGAAGACACTCCTAGAAATCATCATGACTGTTAGAATGATAGATGCTTCACATTGCATTCTTCCCTCACGACACAGATCTCATCCCAAATCCTCTCTAGGATGCAATTGGTTTCACATGCAATCTGCCCTCTTGATGTAGACAGGGATCTCCAAGGGGACTTGACACTAAAAATTTAAAGTCATTCGGTTATTTGGTTACATTTAGGATTTAATTTGAGTATTATTTAGATAATAAAACCATATTTAGTAAATTCTGCATGCATAAAATTTTGAGATTTGCTGGGCATGTACAAGTTAAATATACTTTAAAACATTTTTAAGCTACTTTGCAAATATTTTGAAGATTTAAGGTGTTTGGTGGGGTACTTTTAACAGGATTTATGCCTGGATTTAACCTAAATAAAATCAAATGCAAAAAAAGGGAAGCTAAATCCGGGCCTCGGTTCAATCAATTCTCTTCATTTTTTTACTTAAATCTGGATTTGTTAAATCCAACAATTTGGTGGGTTTAGCTTTGGAAGAAAACAATTGATAGAACATCCTGAATAAAATCCCGAATATCTCTAAAAACTTCCAAACACTATTCTGGATTTAACAGCATATGAATTTGATAAACCCTCAGTGCAGCTAAACACCTAGATACATAAAAAAAAAAGTTATGTAAATTTCTTAAGTCCTACTTTCCTAGGGAATTACTGAACTAAAAATTCAGCCTAATACGAAAAGAAAACAGAATTCGATAATATAATAAACTTTATCCAGCTAAAAAATATATGAACCAACATTTAGTCTAAATCCTCGCTATTTTTGAGCTCAACAAGCCCGTTTAATCTGGAAACTTACCCCCATTTTGCAATCTAACGCGCACATCATCGCAATCTCCATTCCTCCTTTCTTGAAGGGGTTTTCCATGGAGAACCGAAGACGGCGATCGGAAGACACCAATTTCTTCAGATCTCCGATCTGAAGAATCAAAAGCAGTAAGGAAGCATGAGATTGGAATTTTTCAAGGTTCTATGCGTGAAATATAGCGATAAGATCTCCGATGTCGAAGAAGGGAGTCATGGAATGGTAACATATACCTTAACTTCTGCAGGCACTCGAATCCGATAAGGGCGGACTGGACCGACAGTCCTGACGGTGATCTCGACGTCCGGCTCTTCGCCGGCCATTGAGATTCCGGCGATGCCGAATAAGCTAGTCCGCGTGGTCGAACGCCATTAGAGTATTTATTCGAAATATTTGTTATGTTATTAAAATGGATGAAAGAGGGTGTTAGACGTGTAAATAGAAGTGTTTCGGTATGGTCTGCCTTCACTTTTAAAATTGATTTGAAATCTTGGAGGTTATTGTGAGTTATCACGGGGTTTAATGTAGAGTTATGTGAATGGAACAATAGAGGTTATTGAGGGGTTATTGGAACCGAATCACAGAGGTTATATCAGGCCCCACTAATCTCTCAATAACCTCCAAATAACGCTCCTAAATAACCTCCACAGTTATACTTCAATAAACTCAGCGGTTTCACTTTAATTTTTTTTAGGTGAGTCCGGTATAACACACATTGAGGCATATTACTGGAGCACGCACGTAGAACTGCGTACCTACTCCTTATGGAAAATTTTCTCCATCCAATGAGTGCTCTCATGTGGACACCTAACTTTGTAAGTTGTTGTCAAAATAACGAACATTACACTAAAAAAGTGCCTCAATCTTTAAGAGTTCGACTTCATTTTATTTGAGGGGTTTCACACGAATGACAATCAGATCATTTTAGAACTATCTTTGAACAATAATTGAAACATGATTAAACATATTGATCTTGACGAATAATGAATTAAATATCGTTACAACGTTGTTTGAATTTTAATTGAAAAAAATAATCTTATATAAATATGTCATGATCAAATGATCAAATATGAAGCAATAGTTCGATAATGATTAGATCACCGTTTGATCCTTATTTTATGATTCTTTAAATATATTTTGATACTTGTTAGGTACGGGTAAGATAGTTTGGTCGTAAATTAAATATATTTTGATACTTGTTTGAACAAGGTTTAATATTTATTATACATTTTTTATCATGGTTCAAAGATTAATCAATTGTGGTCCAAAGTTGAATTGACATTTATTTAACCAGATCATGTAGTTTACTTATTACATTTTGAAAATGACTAATTTAAGGTATCTTGTTATGTACACATACGAATTAGTCATACAATTTAGAAGGCGGTATGGCACCCCACATATAGGGCTGTCAAAATGGGTTGTTTGCGTACAGCTTGTGTTCGACTCGTTAAGTAGCTCGTATTCGATTGGTTAATTTTGTTCGATAAGTTAACGAGTCGAACAAGAACTAAGATATGTTCGTTCGTGTTCGGCTCGTTTTGGCTCGAAATACTACTCATCAAGTTTATATATATATATAT